CTTCGACTGGGACAACACCAAGATCCTGGGACAGGCTAGGCAGAGACGAGCACGAGAATTCCTGGAAGCATGGCACTCCACGAAGCAGGCTATTAATAAACGCATTGAACTCGACCCCAAATACGTTCCACTACGGAGGAAACCCGGAAGTGAGGCAATCCATCGCAACGGACCCCAGAGTTTAAAAACCAGGCGGGAAAACACACCAACGCTTCATCAGAGGCTGCACTGAGGATGTTACCAAGCACGGTAACGAAACGTCTGCGGAACAACACACCAGCTTGGATATCTGACTCTAAGCAACCTAATTTGTGACAAAAGTCATGAGTCTAAACTACCCACGTTTTCAATACTTTCTTCAATCCTAAAGCACAGACTTGCCTTCTGTTGCTAATATCACTTGTACTACAAATTTTCATTTCAATTTCTGTTCAAATTTACATGGTGATTGAACCTAACAGTCAGTCATAAGTTCACGTAACAGCTATCCAAGAGGATAGGTTGTCACTTTTTGTTTGTGTCATTCTAGTCTGGTCCACTCCCTCTTTCCCTGATCAAAGAGAGGGACTCACCACATGTTGAGCACTTTGATGCAGCTACAAAGAGTTTAGAGAGAAAAGACAACAGATTAATCAAAGGAGAAAGCGCCACCGTTAAGCTTATCATGCACATGGCTCACAGGGGTGGGAGAGGGAGGAAGACGTAACCGTACAACAAGAGGGCTTCAGAGATCAGCAAGGGTGAAGTTGCTGGATATGGAATGAGGGAAGCAAAGAGCAAGACAAGGAAAGGGAGCACAGGAAAACCAAAAAAGATTCAACTGAATAGAATCCCTGGACACAAAAACCATCCAATTAAAATGTAGAAGCTATGCGAGTGACAAATTGTTCGTAAACTAGAAGTCGTCAAAGAAAAGTCACATCAACATTCAAGGCAGACGCCATTTTGAGTAGACAGCTGCACTATAACCTGTCTCAACCTCCAGATGTTTGGCTTTAATGTTTTAACTACTGCAGCTAGAGAGAATCTAAAGTAAAATTAGGCTTTGATTTTCCAACATACTCAGTATTTACTCTCTATTGAATGACAAACGAAACGTTCCTTATTAACTGATAATTATTTTTTCATGGAATAATAGAAAAAAAATCAAAAATTAAAAAAAGGCTTTTAAGTAGCAAACTTTACACAGTCTTCAAAGGATCTTTATTCCATCAAATGATTTGATGTTCAAAGGCCCTGTATCTGTATTGACCTCATCAATTTCCTCTTCCCTCAGTATTGCCAAGGCTGCAGATTATGAATAAGAAAGGCAAGCAACTTGACTATTTCAGCCATGCATTTGATCTAACCTGCAGACAGACATGCTAAACAAAGTGGATCTTCCTTCCGGACATTGCAAAAGGTCCAGCAATTCAATTACTAAGACATTTTTAAGCTGCTTTAAAGACTTAGAATTCTATTAAACAGAGATTACCAAGTCCTGATCGTAAAGCCCCATACACACACAAACAACCTATTTTTCTACCTGAGGTCTCAGAACTGTAACCAAAGTATAAAATGGTATTGCCATGGTAACTTCATGTATTTTGCTACAATCTCTCTCTCTTTTTGCAGCTTGCTACCTTTCAGTGCTGCAGTTAAGTTCAATGCAATGATCACTGGTTAAACTCAACACATTCTGACAGCGAAGGTACAGGTGGGGTCAGGATTAGGGGGGGGTTTGCAGGAAAGGAGGACCCAGGGAGGTCTGTAACAATCCAGCTTAAACCGTAGATAGTAAAAGGAAAACACGATCTGACAGGGTTAGCAGTTAATAGTCAACTGCAATAGAAGGTCAACTACAGTTTAACCAATGTAATCTTCTCCAAGGAAGAGTTTGTTTAGATTGTTCCAATTACACTGGCATGAAAGCATATCAGGAGAAAATGACGGAAATGCAGGAATCGTTAACCCTTTCACTGGCACACACCAATATTTACACATCAAAAACTTTATCTCTTCTGTGCCTATACACCATGATAGGCATTAAAAGGAATAACATTTTAAAAATCTATCCTTTCACCGCATGCATGGAACACCAATGAATCTTTACAGTAGATCACTGCAGATGTCAAAACTTGATTTCATCACCTTTTTTGAATTCACAATTTTGTTAATGTTGGTAAAGCTCATTTTTGTTTTCCCTCGCTGTAGCTGCAGTCAACTGTAAAATATGGGTTCCAATCAACATGATATTTTATCACCCAGTCACCCATTCTGTTAAAGAGACGTTCTAAAGTGTTAACCCTTCAACTGCCTGAGATGTCCCAAACTAACATTGATATTACAAGTCAGGGATTCTCAGTGAAAATGAGACTGAGAACCAAAAGCCAGAGATGAAAGGCATTCTTCTCTGTAATTATGAACAATACTGCAGGTTCAAGAGTTGATGCAGTAGAACTTTGAATCATCAGAAATCCTGCTCATTCTGTTTCTGGGTTATCCAGATCTCTTTTCATCAACCCTGTTCTAACCAGAACAAGCATCTAACACTATTCAAGAAAGAACTCAATAAGGAAAAGCATTAATATTAAGCAAAATGAGACAGTGAAAGGGTTAAAAGGATTATGGAAAACCGCTGCTCCATCCGCGTGGGTTACAGTCTGCCTTGCATGCAGTCATCAGCCAGATACATTTCAACGAAGGTTAATGCTCCACATTTTAAGAATCCATCACAAAAGATAGTATTGCCAATGTCCATGGATACCAGCTTTTAGAATTGACCAGCTTTTAGTTTTGGAATTTATCATCAACTTGGGAACTATATGGAAAAGAATCCTGTCACTTCAGCTAAATACTTAAGACAACATACAGTGATATTAGGTGAAATAAGTTCAGTTTTGGAAATGAAGGTTACAAGTGCAGATACAGCAGAGCAATGGAAAGATTCAGAATGTTTTCCCATATTCTTGCTAAATTGTCAAGATCGTTGCATTTTGTTGCTGATTAAGAAGTCATATTAATGCACTTCTACCAGGCATCAAGCAAAAAGATGTGCTTTTAGTCTAATGAGTGCTATTTGATTGATTCCTTTATAAGAATGGGGGTGCTAGGTGGTAGAGATTTGGAACTCTCTCCCGCTTACGGCAGTTGACACTAAATCAGTTGGTAGTTTTAAATCCAAGATGGATACATTTTTGTTAAGCAAAGATATTAAGGGATTTGGGCCAAAGGCAAGTATATGGAGTTAGGCCATAGATCAGCCATTGTCTTATTAAATGGCGGAACAGACTCGGGAGACTGATCGGCCTACTCCTGTTCCTACGTTTCTAACCAAGTGTGGTTGCAAGGGTTGGAATCAGGAAGGGCAAAGTTAAATTGGAAAAGTTGAACATGTCTACAGTGATATTGCAAGAGCCAACAAAGCAGCTGTAATGAATAGAGTAAGGTGGAGCATTCACCAAGCATAAGAGAGCATAATGTATCATAAGGCACATACTTGGTATCCTCTGAAAGTTCCACCTCTGGTTGGGCTGCGATTGGTGCACTGGAGTGTGCCGCTGTTGGGTCATCGACGTTGAGCTCTCCATTAGTTGAGCTGACCACCTTTTAAGATAGACAAGGATAATAACTTTACACAGATAAGATCACATTATTTAGTATGAGTGCACTAACACTTGTGATTTATTTGCTGGAAACTTAGGTCATTTCTTGTCTTTGTCTTCCCCTGATAATATACACAATTATAATAACTTATATATAATGAGGGCCCCTTTTACAGCAGGTTTATCAACTAGGAGTATCAGAAATCATTTGCTTGAAGGCAACTGATCTAAATTGAGTAGATGGTCAACAGGACTCCAGATACAATACGAAGCTGCTTCTGCGTGTAGATATTGGACAATATTGCTTGGCTTCTTGGGTTTGCATCTATCGCCACTGAAAGGGAGAAATTTTGGACACAGTCAACCTATATAGCTCAAGCTCTATCGTCCCCTTCAATAATTGATAGAAAACAGAATTTTTTTTTTTTTTTTTTTTAAAAAAACTGGTAGTTTTAAAGAAACCTACATATATGTCAGCCACCATGCACAGAGTAATTTAAAAATGACTGGACTAAAATATTAATTGGAGTCAAGCTGCCATTGTGCATTCCAAAACTTGCTTCAATTCATCCATTGGCACAAGTCAGAGGGCTTGAGGCAGTTTTGAGTTTTGGCTGTCATGCAGTTGGCTTTCATTGCTACAATCTAACATGGTCAGAAAAACAATGTCAAATTTGGTTGTGCTGCTAATTTTTGGGAAGCTGCTATCTGCTTTGCTTACAGTTTCAAATATGAAGCCAATTCACTGATGTGGTGCGTGATTGCTATTATTTGCTCTCTATGTGCAATTTTGATGGCGTCAAGAGTGAGAGTCATATCTTAATACATATCTCCTTCAGGTTCAGCAGTGGCTCAATGATCACGATCTGGTCAGAGGTTGAAGCACATTGTACACTGGAATGCCAGCATGTATCATCAGCACCTTTTTAAGAAGGGCATTAAAAAAACTCCTGGAATCTATTCTCCATGCTTAAATTGAATGCCCGTTAGAAAGCAGTGTACAGATACATCCAAAGAGGCCACTATGGTTTTGTGTAGTAGATAGACAGAGGATCTGTGCCATGTGAAGTGTAAAGAATTGTTATTGTTTGTATGTTAATAAACTATATTGAAAGGAATGTTCCAGGTTAATCTTACCTTTAAGAAGTAACATAGCATCCTATCCTGTACTACTCATTTTCTTTTCTCAGGTCATGTAAGCATTCACTACCAGCTGCTGATTCTCTCCCCGTCTTTTTTTTAAGCTATCCCTTGCCCACCTTGGAGGCTGCCAGTCATACTGTTTAGCCATCACCTCAGAGTTAGAAGGAGTGAGTTCAACTGCCATTTCAGAGGACGGAGTACAAAATCTGATGATACTCCTATTGGGAGATGCTGTAGTCTGAATGAACACCAAATAAAGGCTAATCCACCCACTCAGACAGATACAAAAGATCCAAATGTGCTTTTTCAAAGAAGAGTAGGGGATTTCCTGATGGTATCCTGACTAATAAACTGTTGCTTGGAGGAACTTGTTACGCACAAAATGAATGCTGCACTTACTCCATCACAACACTGGTCATTGAGCAATATCGGTTGCCCTGACAGAGTCAAAGGGACGATAAGGAAGATGTAGTTTTAACTTTTTTTTTGCTCACTTGACTTTCCTGAAATGAAGTGATACAGCCTGGCACATAACAGAATCAAATCGGTGTCCGAGAAACTACAGTTATTATTAAATGGAAGATCTGCCCTCACTTCCAACACTCCAACTCCATGAGTTCTGAAGCAAATCTAGTTCTCAAAGGCAGAAGCCTGGGACAACGTTGCTCTAGGGAGGCACAGAACATCATGAATTGGCCTTAACCCTGAACAATAAAATCTCCATCTGGCAATGAATCACACAAGAAGATGTTATACCTGGACTGAGCCCCCGTGTCTGTCAGACGCCAGCTGGGAAGTCAGGTATGAAGGATTTTGTTGCCGATTAGGCTGAATTTCCCATGCTCCTCTGCGGTCAGCTCCTCCTGTCTACTCATTGATTACAAGAGAGGGGAGGGAGACAGTTGTGGGATCCATGCAGCACAACAGGCCCAAGCAAAGCAGTAAAACAAAAAAAGTTAGTCATCAGGGATTAGTAAACTGGTTAGCAAAGCACAAATGGTGCAGTTTTTAGGTATGTCACGAGACACAGGTTTATCACTGCATGCTCCGAAGAAAATCAAATGGAATCTGCTAAAAAGTGAATTTTTTTTTAAAAGGTAAATGTTTGTCATGGATACCAGAATATAAGAGGATTTCCTGACCCTAACAAAGATTCAGCATGAACTTCCTTGGGCTTTGCTGAAGTTAAATCCATGGAAACACCATTTGCATGTCGTCATTGATGGAGGTGATACAGGCCAAATGGAATTCACCCTCTTCCCCAAAACATTTCACAACTCAAGACAAGCAACATGACATACATCATCTCTCTCATCAACAGGTGTACAAACTGACTGTAAGATCACAAAAAATAGGAGGTCATTCAGCTCCTCAGCCAGTTCTGCTTTCAATAAGATCAAGGTTCATCTGATTTTGGCCTTTACTCCACTTTCCACCTGTTCCCCATACTCAACTTCACTGCCAATCAAAATTTCTTTAACTCAGCTCTGAAATATATTCGATGATACAATCTCCACTGCTCATTGTGAAACAGAATTGCAAAGGCAAATGTTGCTCAGAGAAGAAATTATTCCTCATTTCAGTATCAAATTTCTGAAATTTTGCCCTAGTTCTAAATTCGCCCACAAGAGGAGCCATCTTGTAAACCTTGTCAGAAACTCATGCTTCAGTGAGATCAACTCTCATTGTTTGAGCCCCAGCTATCATCCCACTGAACTTTTTTGTGAACTTTCTCTCATATAAGTAAACCTCTCCATCAGTAAGGAGGCCAAAATTGTACATGGCACTATGGCTATAGTCTTGTCAAGCCCTGTAAGTTGTAGTAATACTTTACTTTTTTTTATTACTTCATTTTTCTTACAAACCAGGTCAACATCACAACTGCCTTCCTAACCATTTGCACTGCCAGCATGTTTCCTTTTTATGATTCATGTACAAGTACACTCAGGTATCCATGCAAGAATTGTAACGAGTTGTGGAACACTAATATTCATACTGATTAGACAGATCAAATTGACAAGAATAATGTGGAGGATGAGTTCATCAAGTGTCTTCAGGATAGTTTCTTGTGAGAGAAAAATTTCAGTTTAAGGGTGAGAAATTTCAATCTAAAACCTCTTGCAGATTCTTACAAGCCCCTAATATTTCTTGATTTGTACTCTTGTCCTACAGCCTAACTACTTTATGGGGGGGCCCATCTCTAGTCAACTGTCACCAGTGACTTAGTTCCTTTGCTATTTCATATCTCGACCTTGACTTACTCCACACCTTGATCTTCTGAACCAAGATCATTTCCCACTACTACACTGATCTCAATCTTTATTAAAAGGAAAGCTACCCCAACTTCTAATTCTTTTAATCCTATCCTTTCAAAATGTCAACTGCTCCTGAATATTCAGTTTTCAGTTTTGGTTACTTTGCAATCATATCTTCTTAATAGCTGTAATATTAATCTCAGTTTTTCCTTCTCTTCGTGATTTCAAGTCATCCATCTTTATCTGAATGCACAGAACATTTGCAACAACAGCCTTTAATTCTGTTTTTTTTTAAACTATTCCATAGACTGAACTTATTTACTGGGGGTCTCATGTTTTTATTCCCTGTCTCTTCCATTTACGCTCTGGTCATCATAACCTACTATCTTGTCCTTTCTGTTTAACTTTGCAAGTCTCTGCTCACAAAAATCTCACCAACTATTCAGTTTAAAGCGATCTCTACCATCCTACTTCTATGATTCAGTGGGACATTTCAATTGAAGACAGTCCGAATGGTACAGCACCTACATGGGTGCCAGTATGCATGAACCAAAATCTATTTCTCTCACTTCAAACTCTGAGCCATGTATTTAACTATGAACTTATTTACTACATACCAATTTTCACATGGCTCAGGTAGCTATCCAAAGATTACGTGATTGGTTCTGCTTTTTCATTCAGCCTTGACTGCTCATACTCGATCAGCAGAAACTCTTTCTTTGCCTAATGTATGCCAATGTAGCCATGTGAGCCATGACAGCTTAGTCCTTCCCCTCCCACTTCACGCTCATTTCCAACCCAAAATATCATCCTTAACCCTGGCAGGCACATAGCCTTTGCTGCTCAAGTGCCATCACCTATGTGGAGGAATGTGTGACTGGTAAAGAGGATGAAAGAAGAAACATCCTGAATATCTGGTGGAATCCAAATAAAATACATAATGAGCTTTTGTGAAAAGGTCAGATTGGAGTTTGATGGCATGTGCTCATGAAACTTTGAGTCCAATAAATAAAATTGCAATGCACATTATCCTTTTTAACAGCGCACGTTTACTGACATACCTAATAATGCACCAGAGCAACGCAAGTGATTAATTGTTCATACATTGCTGCCTTCAATCGTGAAACTTTGTAACGGTTCAAAAGGCAAATGATATTCCATTCGGGATAAGCTGGCAAAATACTGTTTGCTTACTGCAAATTTCCCCTGCATCAGAATGTCAGGGAGATCTGCCATTCCATCTCTCTGAACTCAAAATGCTACTCACAACCAGTTAATGGGATGTTAACAAATGACTTGATAAGGAAAGGTGAATTGGTGAAATCAGTGCCAGTTTCATACAAAGCCATGACAAGCTTTTGCACCAATTCAATGCCACTTTACGGACAATGAAGGCCTGAAATGATGCAGACCCGCTACTTTTCTCATCGCTGTAACTGTCACTAACTTGGAGAAATATTATATAAAGAGATCAGAAATGGCAGATCCCTATCAAACGGGGGCAAACAAAAAAATAGAAAGTGCTAGTTTTTTCTTAATTACTTGTGCATGGACTCCAGTACTCTTTCTTCCATATATGTGAACAATGTGTTTGAGCTTTTACATCATATTTTCAATAACTTAGGTGACAATAAACCTAATTATAATTCTAGGTAAATTCAGTTTTGGAATGGTCACTGTTCTCCAACATGGGACAAACGAGTCTATGGAAACCCAACAGGCTAATTAAAAGACTAAAATAAACCAGGAGTTGCACTGACCTGGTTTCGGAGTGGCTGCTGATGTGTGGCTTTTTCTCGGTGTGTGTGGCTTTCTCTGCTTACTCCATGATCCCCATGACTGGGTCCAACTGGCGTGGGCTACGGGACATAAAAAAAGGCAGGTTAGGTTCAGACCAAGATAACCTATAACCATATTAATTTTCTATAATGTGCTTCACCCGTGCAGCAGTTAGCTTCAAGTGGGGAGCAGGATCCAACAGCAGTTTGGCAAATCTTTCTCTTGAAGCTGGTCATACTTGCCTTCAGCATCTTAGTCTCCCCCCTTGTATTTTGCTACGTCACTTCAAAAAGTGGTGGTAGTGGTGAGCAACGCGTACTGAAAACTTCGAAGTTCAACTCCGCTAGAGGTGCATGAACTGCAAAGTAAATCTCTTCGCCCACTTTTTCCCAATCAGTTACTTTAAAAGACTGTTTCTGGAGAATTGATTCACCTAGTGATTTAATGCAGAACAGGATTTTGTGGTTGCAATGATGGTGAAATGATGATGTTGCCATTCCCCACCCTTGCTCCTCTGAATCTGAAAGCAGCTTCAGATATCTGTATGTGTGCAGTTAAATGCCACCATCCAGAAGATGCTGTCAGTCATTCCACACTGGGTATATCACCAAAATCCCCTTAAATCACTATCAATTCAAAATCACTGAGTTAATGAAACCAGGTTTAGTCTCATTGCAAAAACCTGTGCAAAAGATATGTCTCATTGGACAAGATGCAGCTGGGTTCTTAATGGCATACTAAGCTGATAATTCATTCTGAATAGCTTCATTGTACCTGAAGACCTACTAAATTAGTACAATATCAAATTTCTTCACTGTAAATCAAATTTTTTCCCTTAAATTGTGATATTTCCTTTCCACTTAATCCTGTACATCCCAATCATTGATTTTGCTCCAAAATTTTAAACTATAAATACAAATGTCAGTTTTTTTTTTAAAACTTCCTGAGTTGCTGTCTTTTGAGAATGAGATGGACAGCTTATCCTGTTACTGTTGTGGTGTCTGACAAAATCTGACATTGGTAAAGGGGACTTTAGACAACAGAAATCATAGAATCACAGAATCCCTACAGTGTGGAAACAGGCCCATCAGCCCAATAAGTCCACAATGACCCTCAGAGCATCCCACCCAGACCCATCCCCCTAATCTACACATCCCTGAACACCGTGGGCAATTTAGCATGGCCAATCCACCTACCCTGCACATCTTTGGAACGTGGGAAGAAACCGGATCACCCAGAGGAAGCCCACACAGACACAGGGAGAATGTGCAAACTCCACACAGACAGTCGCCTGAGGGTGGAATCGAACCTGGGTTCCCGGCGTTGAGGAAACAGTGCTAACCACTGAGCCACCATGATGCTGTGTCTTTGTCAGCAGCTTTGTTCAAGGTGAGAAGTAAACTTTGTCACTTTGCCACTGACCTAGAAATTCAGGCCATTAAACTGAATTCATCACTATGAAAAGGTCAAAATTATCTTCACTTTGACTGCAGCTTCAGCGAACATCTTCTCAACTACATGGTGTTTCCAGAGTAGGGTTTGTTTTTGAAAAACAAAAGGGGTAGAGCGAGCTTAAATCATTCAATTCTTCATGAAGTTTGATCACAAATTTCATTTTGTGTTACTGTCAAATAATCTAACTGCAAGGATTGCTACATTTCTGGGTACAGTTTGCACTCTGGATTTTTCAGTTCTTGTACCCAAAATCCGGACTCGCTACGGCATTTACCTTGGGTAAATAGTCAGCATCCCAACAGGAACAAGGAACAGAAAACCTTGGTCATCACACATTTATTTCCCCATAAGTGCTGTCTTGAAAATCAGACAGATAAGGGCCTCATTCTAGTTTTAAAATGTTATTCAAATTTACTAAATTAACAATGAACAAGCGATTGTATGACGTTTATTGATGGCAAAATATGGAGTTAGTGGAAATTATACTGACTCAAAAGCGACAGAAAAGCTCACATATTTAAAGACTAACCTGTGTGCCTTTATACATAGCTTTGTCCTGAATGAGCTGAGGTGTTAGTTAGAATTTACCTTCCTACATAAGATAGAGCCTAATTAATTCAAATACACCTGGAAGATTGCATTATATTGCCTACTTTTGGCAGCCCTCAAGTAGTTGCCAGAACCTGTTAGAAATACTTCACAGACCAGACAATTCAAAAATCAACAGGAAGCCATATTCAAAGGCCTGTTTATTTGAAAACCGTGGGTGTTCAGCTTTCTCACAAGCTTATTGGGAAAAAAACAAAAAAACAACAAAAAATTTCAAATTTGGAATGACAACATAGATTGTCTTTTAAAACCTTTGGTGTGGCATTTGATTCAATGGAAAAGCTATCAGAGTAATGTGACAGACAACTGCTTCATGCTTGTCACACAGGCAGTTCTGCCAAAGCCCCATTTAAAACTGCTTGCAACAAAGGTTAGCCGTAAGTTCCTTGATGTGTACCATGAAATCAAAGGTAATCTACAACAGAATTACCAAGCAGGGTTTTAAATCAGACCTGCAGATTCAGAAAATGGAGCTAGATCCACACAAATTGAAAAATTCATCTCTAACTGAAGATCGCCTCCGAAAGCCAATTTTTCTGTCAACATTATTCCCGATTCTCAGTTTGGAGTAACCATTTCAAAATCTTCACTTGTTGCTTTATAGGAACACCAAGTCCACGTCAAATTGTCTTAGCAACCAAGGACCAAACATAAGTTTGACTGAAAGAAGTTCACTCATTGGCAGGGCTGAGGGGGTTAAGGCACTGAAAGAATTAAAAGCATGCATTTTGCAATAAAGAGGCTTCATATAGTTAAACATTTAAGCTAATTCTGCAGTATAGCTTTGGAGTGCTGCCAGATACATCAGTCACTAGCATATCCAAACAAGAAACTTCTTCACCAAAAGCATACTTACAATGGAAACGGAAAGAGCACAGTGGTACTGTATCTAGTCTAGTAATCCAGCGACACAGGTAATGCTCAGGGGCCCTGGATTCCATGGCAAACAGTGGAATATGACTTTTTAAAAAATCTGGAATTACAAGTCTAATGTTGACCATGAAACCATTGTTGATTCTTGTAAAAACTCATCTGGTTCATTAATGTTCTTTAAGGAAGGAAATCTGCCATTCTTAGTCAGTGTGGCTTATATGTTACTCTAAACCCATAGCAACGTGGCTGGCTTTTCATGTGCTCTAAAATGGTTTACCACAACACTCAGCTCTATAAAACTGACAAAGTCCCAAAGGACTGTGACAGGGCACCAGAAGTGACAATGGCAAACTAGCCCTGCAATTCTGCAAAGTCTTTCTTAGGAACATCTCGGAGCTACTGCTGTGTCACAGACTTAGTCAAGCAACAGCCTCATCTAGTCATACTCTCAGAAGTGTCTTGCTGACAATGTCCCAGGCACCACCATCATCAGCAGGACAGACCTACCCAGAGGAGGAGGCACGGTGGTATACAGTCAAGGAACATGGACCTGACCCTCCGACCCCCAGCATTCAGTTGCTCCATAACTGGTCCCATGCTATTCCGACGCTGTCGTGCTGCACACTCTTTCCAGTCTCATCACTCCTTGACATAGACGAATCCTCCTTCACTATCAAGATCCTGTGGATTACCATTGGCCAGAAACTGAACATGGCTGCAATTTCCCCTCTAAGCCACTCCCATTCTAACTAGAAAATACATCACTTATCCTTCACAGTCAGAGTGTAAAAACGCTGAACTCCCCCCCACTAACACTACTGTGGGTGTATCTACATCAAATGGACTGCAGTGGTTCAAGTAAGGAAGCTCATCACCAACCACTCAAAGATAATTAGCGATGGGCAAGATACATTGGTCCCCAGAGAACAAACAATAACTGTCTATACATAAAGCAGCAGTGAAGAACAGACAGAAGCATCTAAGAGAGAGCTAGCTGAGTACAAGGGTGAAAGAGTTAGGAGGGCAGATAGCATGAGATGAATAAGAGGTTTAAATGGTCTGTTTCTGCAGTGTAAATTATAAACAATTCTACTTAAAGTTTTCTCCATTACACTACAGGCCATGAGATTAGCTTCCTTGATTTAAAAATCACCTGATCCCCCTACCCTCAAATTCTCTCTCAAATTGGAGAAGACCAGATACACTCTTGGCGCCTCTCTTCGATATATGCGTTGAGATTGAGAATTCACTGCACTCAAAAGCCAGAGGCATTCTGAGATATAAAATGGAAGACAAATCCTGCCCACCTCATGCTTCTGACTGTTTTTATGTTTGTATCTACTTGCTGGTTTGATGGGAGCTGATCAAGTACGTGCATATATAAACGAAACTAGGACTTAACTGGGGCATGTTTGTGAAATTTAAATCTCTTACATCCCTGGAAAAGACTGCCTTCTCCCCACCCATTCTAAAACAGCAATCTTCTATTAACAACAGAAGACTTAATGTCAAAGACATATCAAACACCGCTAATTTCAAATGTCCGGTTATAATCAGATTTCACTCATTTAACAACATTTATACCGTCTGCAACCCAAGCTTAATTTGCAGTATGGAGTTGCTAATTCTATACCTATTCAGATTTTATTTCATCAAATAAAAATGTATGTTGATGATTTCAGCGCCAACACAAATTTTGCTGAAAGGTTATCACCCAAGCACCCAATACATAAATTGTATGAGGTTTATACCCTTAATCCAAACCAAATGATCAGTTTGAGCAGCAGCGCTGTATAAGCTGCACTATGAGAGTATTCGTCCAGCAAACTTCAAGTGCGTTTACACACATTTCTCACTGCAAGGTCCTGAGCAGTGGAATGCCATCTGGAAAACCTTATTCATGTCCTGAAAACTCATGGCCCAAGAACCCCAAAGTTTTCAATTCCTGCACTGATTGGGTTGTAACTAATTGGAATCACAGAAATTCTGTTCACATCAAGACTTCTTCATGAGCTGTTTCCACATTGTTTTCTAATTCATTCATGAGATGTGAGAATCACTGGCTGGGCCAGCGTTTATTATCCATCCCTAGTTGGCATCCAGTTGGCGGTGATTGCCTTCTTGAACCACTGTAATCCATTTAGAATGTAGACCCATAGTACTATTAAAAGGAGGGAATTCCAGAATTTTGACACAGCGACACTAAAGGATTGGTTCCAAGTCCAAATAGTGAGTGGTTTGGAGGGGAACTTGCAGGTGATGGTGTTCCCATGTATCTGCTGCCCTGGTCCTTCTAAATAGGAATAATTGAGGTGTTTTGAGGGTGGTGTCTAAGGAGCCTTGATGAATTTCACCAGAGCATCTTGTAAATAACATATACAGCTGCGACTGTGATATGGTGGTGGAGACGGTGGATGCTTGTGAAATGGTGTCAATCAAGCAGCCTGCTTTGTCCTGGATGGTGTCAAGCTTCTAGTGTTGTTGGAGCTGCATGCATCCAGGCAAGTGGGGAGTATTCCATCAGATTTCTGACAAGAAGAATCACTGGACTTGGAATTTTAACTTGGTATCTCTCTCCACAGATGCTGCCAGACCTGCTGAGTTTCTTTAGCATTGTTTGTTTGTGACATTTCTCTACAACTTCCAAAGTCTCACGATGCACAGCTCCGCATGGTAGGCATTCCACAATTCAAGTTCCATTTGCTTCACAAGTGTCTCTACTCGATTTTTAAATACTTTGATTCTGCCCATGTCATTATTCCTTTGCAATGTTTTAATCTACTTAAATTGTTTTGTCAGTTTGCATGAGCGTATGCTTGACTAATAGTTGACTATGTGCAAAAGCTAACACCCAAACTTTGGCCAAAAGATCATTAATTTTTCATATAGCTTATGCATGGGTTGAACCAGAATCTAACCCAAACAATTCAAACTCTTTACACTTACCACCCACTCACCACTGATGTCAAACTTGTCCTGGTGCAAAGCTACTTGATAGAATCATAGAGTAGCATACTACTGAAGATGGCAGTTCAGACCTCTTGCATGTACTTTTGGCTCCAATTGGGGTTAAAAGTGGCAGGAACAGTCTCCAATTTCCATCTCTGACCTGGCAACTCCGCAACAGTGAGGGGGCAGTGGATTTCATTCCCTCCAAAATGTTCCTTGCCTTAAAGCTGAACCCAGTCTCTGACCCCGATTACTTTGACCAAAAATTCAGTCTTAGAAATTAGACTTCTACACAGTTATATATGGTAATTTATGAATAAATGCAGATCCAGAACTCATCCAAGCTAACTATCTGTCCCTAAGTGAAACCAGGCTAGGCCTGACATGCTCTGGACATCAGTTAGTATTCCTCAGGAATAATGGACCAATGCTGTAATCTAAGCTGACATTCCAGCACAGTTTTGAAGGGATGAAGACATTATGAGAGGTGCCATATTTAAATTGAGGCATTAAAAGGAGATAGCATCTGCTCTTCCAGATTTGTTCTAACTATAGCATAGCACGATTCAAAAATGAACAGAGAAATTCTCCTGGCCATTATCTATTCCAAAGCCTACATCACTAAAACACGATAATGTGCCTAGCTGCATATTGCATTACTGTTTGTGTGACCATGTTCTCAACCAATTGGCTGTGAAACTTCCCAACATTGCAAGATGACAACACTTCAAAAGTACTTATTTGCCAAGCATTTGGAGCATCATAAAAGGTTCGACATAAATACAAATCCTTTCTTAGTCCTTCCATTAAAAATCAAAAGCTGTTGTTTCATAACACTTGCATTTAACATCTGAAATCTTGAATTTAATTTCTTTTGTTAGAAGCTTACTGCCTGGATAATGAATGAATTCCTGTCCACTCCACGCCTTAGAGATTGGACATCTCAACCTCAACAGAATAATTTGCTCCCTTTTTACAGAATCATAATAGCAACTTTGTCACTTACTATTTGCCTGCCAACCCAGTCGTATGCATAATCAAAAGCATAGCCCTTTCTTTCAAAAAGATCTGTCAATAGTGTGCGTAAATACTGGTAGTCTGGTTTTTCGAAGAAGTCTAACCTCCTCACGTAGCGGAGGTACGTCGCCATCTCCTCTGTGAAGAAAAAGACAAAGCAGTCAAAAATAAAGCAGTAAATGCCACAACACATCCAGCAGGTCAGGCAGCATCCATGCAGAAAGATAATTAACAATTTCAGATCAATGATCTTTCACTGGAACTGGAAGCAGTTAGACGTTGAACAGTTCATAATCAAATACAGAAACACTGAAAAATTGGAGGGGCATGGGGCACAAAGAAGAGGAGGAAAGTTCTGTTACAAACTGGAGATCAGGAGTGAATGTTTGACAGGAGTTAATGGTACAAAGCAAAAGGAGGTACCAAAAAGACACAAAATTATCAAAACATGACACCCAGGACCATCATCAGCACCTGCAGTCTAAGCAAACAGAAGCCAAGATTATGATCTAAAATTGATGAACTCAATAGAGGCCAGAAGATTTGTAAAGTGCTTATTCAAATGATGAGTTACTGACCCTTGGATTTGCTCAAATAAATATTCAAAACTTCCAAAACTTCTAATCACTGCAGGATTATGGAGGAGAACAGGTCAGGTGGTGTATAATAAAGAGATAGGAGAAATAAAGTTAGTTACTGGCGTCTTTTAACAGAAATGCTCAATTACGTTGGTGGAACATACCTATTGCCTAAACTAAATGTACTGTATTCATTGGGAGTGGTCTCCATGTTGGCTGGTCAACCAAACAGCTGTATCTTTACAAAAGACGACCAAACAACTAACATAGAGGAATGAAGGCGACAATGACCTATAGGATTGAGTAGTTAAAGGAATGGTGTCCTTTCACTTGGAGAACAAACCTCAGATACAACCCACAAAGAGGTAAACACACATGGTACAAAGACTGACGGCACAGTTCTGTCTACTGATATAGTAATTAGAACTTGTTATAAATTACACAGTAATTCCTGCAAGCCAACTCAATTCATATGTTATTAGCTCTATAGGGCTCAAGTTACAGACACGCTACAAGTAGCGCAAAAGTAACCTATGCATTTAGAGAAAAATATTGGATTTTCAACTTCTGTTGGGGAATACTGTTCCTATTCTATTCTACACAATTAAGTTATTTCAAATAAATGCAAGTAAACAGCACTAAGTACTGATGCAAAAAGCTGCTACTCCCGTTCAAATATTTCTTACTTGGAACTTCAGTTTTACAGCTTTATTCTAAATTGACTTGTCTATAAAGGCTCATAAATTGCCACTTTGGAAAGGTCATGGTGAGGTCATGAAGGTATCATAACAGTAAGGATCATGACAGAAGGGGATTACTGCTCTCCTTCAGTGGATCCACTGCACCGAATGAGGATCTGTTTCGACCAACTCTCTCATTCTAGGTTGAGATTTTCCAAACAACTACTGAGCAATAGTTCATGCTTCAAATTCTTCAATGAAGACTGGTATTCCTTTTTGATTACTGCTCTTCTGTTGGTGCTACATTCTCTTAGGCACCAATCCAAAGGCAAAGTGCAGGATGGAACTGAACAAATATTCAACAGCTTATGAATCTAAAGAAAATTGGAAAGGAACAGGGGCACAAAGGTCATCAGAGGAGGTCTATGATAAGGTGGATATTGGGAAGGACAGTGACACCCTCAGCATCGACGTAAGATATGCTTATGTATTTTCATTATGAAAACTAAAATACTTAAGTGCTGGTTTTTGACTGGCACAGACTTGATGGGGTGAAGGACCTTTTTCTGTTCTGTAGACCTGAGTGTACAATTCTAAAATGTAGTTTGTTCCAAATAAAGGAACAGATTTATCATCTTTGGAAGACTTCTATGCTCATACTCGGTGGAATAGCATGCTCCTGCTATCCAGCAGGGACCAGCTGGTTTATTTCACCAACTAAATACAAACAAAACCCCTCGACAAAATCCCACTGAAAGTACTTGACACTATTATTCTAGGGCAACGTAACATCCCAAGAACACTGCAATCAATTCAGTCAGCGGAATCCTGGACTGGTCTATACCTAACCAAGTTCATCCTCATCACTGAGGAGCCCTCAAGATTCTAAAAAGGCCATTGTCTGAGATCCCCTATCTCACACCAGAACTTCAGTGAGGTAATCAAAGGAGTGCTAAATAATCAACTCAGTAACGAATAAGTAAAGCACTGAACAAAGTTTAAGGTGGTGCCAAATCTAAGCATTAGCTATAGGCTACATATAAACGAATAGATTCAGGCAAATTAGCCCCTTGAACCAACTTCATCATTCAGTGAGATCATGGCTCTACTGCCCATAACTTGATGTCTGAGGAAAGGTTTCACTATTGTTAACTGCACATATGATACAACCTTCTCCATAAATAAATAACTAACGGACCCTCAAAACGGTGAATTCAGGCTAACCTGACAAAGAACTCTTGTAGGAAAGTGAAGTAGGGAAAGATTGAAACAATTTCTACATTGATGAACAAATCTCTGAAGGCCGCTGATGTTCTGATTAAGAATTCAGTCAATTCAACAGACAACTGTTATTAAAATGCACAGTGAAAAAAATTACTGTAATACGGAAGCGTTAATATATAATAACCATTAGTAGTAACCTTGGAATGGCTTATTTCTTTAAGACTCAAATCAATGTCCCTATACTTTGTGCAGCATAAAAATAATTAAAATTCATGATCCTGTTGTTGTACATTCTCCAAGTTCCTTGTTTGGTGCTTGTATTTGATCTCAGGCTTAAGATTGATACAAACCTCTGACTCAAAAGGTTTAAAACTAGTGCAAAGATTGTCAGCAGCCTGAAGTATTGTTCATTCTTCAGCAAGAAATACAGCTCCATGTGTGAAGAGTTCGATAATTACTCAGTGGGAAAGCAAAGGAAACTTGAAATAGGTTAACTCAATAAAGTAGCAGCAGCTGTCAGCAGAGTTTAACATCAAGGACAGCAAGGGATAATCAACTGAAGAGATCCACCAATCTGCGGACACACTTTTTTCACTGCTACACCTTGTAGTGTGTTTCTGGAGCTCTTTCATATTAAGAATCTCAAGAAATTCAGCAATTCTTGGCATAATGCAAACAAAGCTTCCAGGAGCCCATCTACAGTGTGACCCATACCTGGAAAGCTCTCACAGAGAACTTCAATCGGAGTGTTTCGTTTTGTATCCCCAATTTTCTGGTAGCGTTCCTTTAATGTTTCTGCCTGCAAGCAAAAATAGTCAGTTTAACCACACACAACGTACATTTAATTCTCAAGCTCCAAGTTTGAAAAGCCATGTTACTAAACATCAGAAGAAATTAATTTTGTACTTGAAGATGATTTTGGAGAACATTGATCAGACCATGCATTGCATATTCATCGGGATAATTAATGAATGGTCAAGCATCATCACTGCGAGCATTCAAATCACACATTTCCTGGTTGGACATAGTGTGTGGAGGGTTACAGCATATGGTGTTGTAGAGATAGACATACAACAATGTGCACAGATACTTGTCCAGAAGATCAGTTTTGCTGCAGAACTGAACAGAAAGTTACTGTTTTTTAAAACTATGGGTCAAGGATGGAGTGATCACATCCCTCTTGACAGCAAAGGTTCATTAAAATGAATTGCGTTTTGTTTACAACATTCACATGCTCAAGCTGTGACAGATCCAACAATGAGTTGAAACCTGACCTAACTAGCTGCTTTAAGGTATGAAAATGAAAAACTGAAATCATGGTTGGATCACTCAGTCCACTGAATTCAACAATTTTGACCTGGAAGGATTTACAAATCAACTCCTAAGTGTCTCCAATATAGGGCACATGGCAATCTATAATATAGACAATTCTGTTATGAAACATTAAAAATAATGCAAATCGAAAATGCACCTGTACAGTCACATGAAGACTCATGGCAGAGACTCATGACCCAGAATAGATGTCATCCTCAGCCAATATAATCGAAAGTAAATCATACACATATCTTGTGACTTTATAAACACTCAGGTCAAACTTCAACTCTGGATCATACTCCAAAACTCTTTGCCCAAAAGTCATGAAACAATCTAAAGTTGAACACATACATCACATTGTCTTCGCTTATTGAACCCTATAGGATAAACAATCTCAGTTTTATTCTTGCATGGGATGTGGGCTTCACTGGCAACGTTAGCATTTATTGCCCATCCTAACAGCCCGAGCTGAGTGGCTTGCATGGATACATTAAAGTGCACACTCCTGTGGATCATGAGTCACATATCGGCTAGGCCAAGTCAACTATGGATTGCAGATTTTGTTTCCTAAAGGACATTAGTGAACCAAATGTATTTTTACTATCATCGACAATGGGTTCATGCTCACCATTATGAAGACAACTACTAATGCCATGGTAGGATTTGAACCCTCATCCCCACAGCATTAGCCTGGGCCTCTGGAGTTATTAACAGTGACTGTGCCACCTGTGTCAACAATGTCCTTGCTCAATGAATTTCTGAATGAGATGGTGGCAATAATGGCTCAGTGGTTAGCACTGTTACCTCAGTGCCAGGAACCCAGGTTCAATTTCACCCTCTGTGTGGAGTTTGCATATTCTCCCCATGTCTGCGTGAGTTTCCTCCAGGCGCTCTGGTTTCCTTCCACAGTCCAAAGATGTGCAAGTCAGGTGGATTAGCCATGTTAAATTGTCCACAGCAGATTAGCCACAAGAAATGCACGGTTACAGGGATAGGGTAGGAGGGTGGTGGGTCATGGTAGGATGGTCTTGAGAGGGTCAGTGTGGACTTGGTGGGCTGAGTGGCCTGCTTCCACATTGTAGGGATTCTATGATGATTCTATGATTCAGTCACACACCCGATACCCATAATCTTTAAGTTTCCCATTTCCTGTAACATTATTAGGGGACCAAAAGGAAAGATTTTAAACATACAAATAGGAGTAGACCATTTGGCACCACAACCTTGTCCCACTGTTCAATAAGATCATGGATGATCTGCTTGTGTATCAAATTCCACATTCCTGTTGACTGTTGGTAATCTTTGATTCCCTTGCCTAACAAGAATCTATATATAATTGGTTTTAAAAATACTGAATGACCTCACCTCCACTTCAGAAAGTTCTACAGTCTCACAACACAAAAAAAACTCTCCAAAAATGGAAACACAATTTTAATCTCCTCTATTTCAGGATACACCCACAACAGTAAACATCCAGGTCCATGTCAAGACCAATAAGGGTTGTTTACACTTCAAATAAATCACCCCTCACTCTTCCAGTTGAAACAACCCCAGTCTGTCTAACCTATCCTCAAAAAACAACGCATTCATTCCAGGCATTAACCTAGTATATAGAGTAGGTAGTCCTGACTCTTGGGTTTCTAGCCATCCTTCTGAATTTGAATACGCTGTAGATAGATTAGCAACTCAAACAGACCCCACTTTCTGAATCCAGGTATGGCAGCAAAACAGCAAACTGGCACAGCTACAAAGTCTTAAATCACACAGCAATCACAAATAGCTGTTTCTACCAGAGAATTCAGAAGGTAAATTATTTCCATGACATTGGGGTTTGAATTATCGCTCGCCCACTGGTTCAGCAATTAATAGGTCACTCAGTGTTGAATGCCGGGACACCGAGTAAACTGAAGGAGGAGATAGGCATTTTTAATTAGTAACGGGTTGAAGGGTTATGGAGAGTGGACAGAAAAAGTGGAATTAAGGCCACGATGAGATCAGCCATGATCACATTAAATGGCAGAGCAGGAATTTCATCCCTCAGAGGGTGTGCATCTGTGGAATTCTTTACTGCAGAAGGCTGTAGAGGTTCAGTCATTAAGTACATTCATGGCTGAGATAACCAGATTTTTAATCAGTAAGAAAATCAAGGGTGATATCGCAAAGGCAGGAAAGTGGAGTTGAGGACTATCAGATCAGCTATCTCATTGAATGGTGGAGCAGATTCAATGGGCTGAGTGGCCTACTTCTGCTCCTATGGCCTTATGGATCACCACAATTGCTGTAAATCTTGAAAGCATCCAGCACAAGTCTGAATGAGCCAAATGGTCTGCTTCCATGCTGCAAGATTCTAAGATTGTGCATCAGCAGATACCAATGAAATGGTTGTTACTGTCTTCAACCCTTCCATTCTTCTATAACTGCACTGTTCTCTTAGGTGGTGTCCCCCAAACCTATTTACCTGTCACATTGAAATCAGGCAAAATATTTGTCGATAAAATGCAAGAAAGTTGTTATGCATGCACATTTATCATCCAAATGCATGCTCATTCTCAAAAAAGGTGCTTATTTGTTACAGTAAATCTTCATGTAACAACCGAGAAAAATATAAAAAATATCTGCACAGCAGTATTCCTCTGGCCTCCCCTATTTATGACAGGCAGAATATAGATGTGAAATTAGCATTGTAAATCAGATAACAATTTGAAATAATAAATAAAAGCATTACATGCCCACGCTCAAGCTTTCGGCAGCTGGTGTTTACCAGTAATATGTAACCCTCACAACAGATCAGTTAGTTACAAACCTGTGTGCGTTGTCTAGAAAATTCCTCTGATAAACAGGGACTACGATAGGCAACATAGTCTATTTATTATTCCTTCAGATGGATTTTTGTGGACTAAAATTGAAAATGAGAATGGTGACTGAATATCTAAATGTTTTGATTAAAACTGTATTTGTAACTGATAAATGGAACTACTCACGTAAGAGGAAGAATAATTCCATAAATTTATGGAATGTCTGGTGAACGTAGAAATAATTTCCAAATTTTATTTTGGATATTCACTACCTTAAATGTTACAAACATCCATCAACCAAGGGACAGAACTTAGATAAAACACAGACAAAATACCAAACATTGATTCTTTTCCCATGTTGTGAGGGAATCTTAGGATTGTTACAGCGCAGAAAGAGGCTACTTGGTCCATGGAATTTCTGCTGGGTCTCAAAAAGAGCAATTCACAACCCAGGTACTACTTGTACAAGGTTTCTCAAAGTAGGGGTTGGGAATCTAAGTTTAGCCACATCTTGAAATTTTGGGGCCATGGGCACTGCGGCAGTAATGAGTCCATTCTTCTCTTAGTGACTTTTTACATTTTTTTTCAGGTACCAGTCTAATTCTCTTTGGAAGGCCTCAAGTGAACCCACCTCCACCACACTGTCTGGCAGTGCATTCCAGAATTAACTACGTGCTGCTTGAAAACATTCTTCCTCATATCACTTTTGCAACTTCCACCAACTGCTTTGAACATGTGCCCTCTCAATCTTTTCTCAAGTGGTAAAAGTTTATCTTTATCTGCTCTGTCCAGACCCCAGATTTTGAACAAATCTCCTCTCGACCTTCTCTTTTACACAAAGAAGTTGCAACTTCTCCATTCCAAAAGCAAAGAAATATAGGAAATAAAAGAACAGAAGACTTAGATTAGAAATGAGCAGGTATGAAGGCCAACGTAATGGCATAAGTTAAGACAATGTTTAAGTGAGAAGAGCTCTTGCAGGACACAGATCTGACCATTGGGCTCTGAACAAATTCTTTGAGCTTATCAAAACAAAAGCACATTAAACTAAGCCGTCAGATCCCTTTACCAAAGGGTCACATACCAAATTGGACAATACTACCCAAATTTTTATCCTAATGCAACAGCGCTCCAAGGCTTGAAAATAGTTGACCTCTCAGTGACAACTAAAGAGCTGGGTTTGGGGGCTGTGAGAACAGAGGCCTATTAGAGCAGGTTTATAACTATTATAACTTGGTCAGAGTTCTAAGGCAGTCATTACTGGCATTTTTCAAACATAACACAACAATAGGAGACAAAAGTTATTGCTGAAACAGATAGGTGGAACTGACTGGACATGCAACGAGGAACTTGCCACTGTTATGTCGCAATTTCAGACAATTCATGAGTCAAAACAAAGATATATCCCAGGGAGTAAGGAGGACTCTAGGTTCAGGAGAAACCAACCATTGTTAATCAAGGGTACTACCAAATTGTAAGAAAAAACATACAATGTGGCAAAGATTAGTAGTAAACCAGAGCTTTGGCAAAGTTTTAAAAGGCAACAAATGATGACCACAATAATAACAGGTGGGAAATAAACCACAAGGGAAAACTAGTAAGTAACATAAAACAGACAGCAAGAGCTTAATTAAATATATAAAGAGGAAGAGAAAGGCCAAAGTATAAATAGTCCCCTTAGAGAACAAAG